TACAATCTTTGTCCTTCTTGAAGGACCTATGTTTGGTGTAGAACGAAGCATTGTATGAGCCCCCTCAAGGCCTCTCACTGATCACAACTGCTCTCTCTCTTTTGAACGATAATCGCCATCCTGACTTCTGGAATAATAACGTCCTTGAATGGATTTATAATTCTGCCAATTGCCTGGGCACCTCAGAGAAACAGCATCCAGTTTGGGTTATTTTGAACTTCACAGAAAGAACGATAGCAAAAACATTGGTCATGTTGGGTCTCACTCGATCTAAAAAGTCTATTGGATTAGACTGTTATCGAGACTGTTCCTGAGAGTGACTCCTTCACCTCAGGTTTACTACAAGATGGGCAATTGGCTCTCGATGATTTGAGAGTCACTTTACCAAGTTACTGACCTTCTTTCATTCTGAGTGATGGTGCCGTTTTCTAGCTTCTTCACCGTGGTCGCCAGCACTTTATTTGCATCATTGGCAAAATCTAAGTCTCGGACCTCAGACAGCGGAACTGACACAATGGCGAAGGCTTCTTTGTCCTCTTTTGTTTGGCATGTTCCGATCTGCAAAGATTTTGTTTTGCTTTTAATGCAATAACTTCATGTTATTCTTTTAGCAGTACCACATCTTATTACACATTTTAAAACACAAAGCAGAAGCAGATCATCCAAGGGCAATTCCTCTCTATACTCTCCATTATTCTACCCCTGTTCCCTGCCCTGATCTCAAAGCCCCCCTGAAAACGAGTCCCTTTCGCACTTGCCCTTTGTTTCCCTTTCAACGGAGCAGAGAAACTGCAACCCAAGCAGCATCTCCCCTCCTACAAGCTGCTAGACTGCAAATGTCCGAAAACACCTGTGGCTTTTCGGTCATTCAGCCGGACGACCTAAGTAAGCAATTGACTGAATGTAATGTAGGCAATGAATTTAATTGGACTCGTCTCTAATACGCTGCAAAAGAACGGTAAGAAATATTTGTTACCCACAACCCTATTTACAAAACATTTGGTAGCAAATTAAACCATTCCCAGGAACACTTACCTTCAGCATAACAGGCCTCTCTTCATCTGTGTCTATGGGGATACTGGTACTGGTTACCCATGTGTTGGTACATAAGTGTCTTAACCGAACATAGGAGTTCCTAAAAACAGAACATTTTTCAATTATGAAAATTAAGACCCTACATGATAAATGGCTATATTGTCATAGATATGTGTCTAGATTATATGTTGAACAAACAATTGACTCATATGTAAAGATCAATCTGTTTTAGGGGGAAAAATCTGTATTACACACTGTTTCAAATCATGTAGTATCCATTACCTAGCCCAACGGTTCTCAAAGCGTGGTAGAGGACCTGAGAAATGAGAGCTAGAACTTCATCGACTTCAAATATGATCATGCTAATGAATTTTATACTACCATTCATTTCTGCAACAAGTGCATGTCAAGTGTCTATGGAACGTAAACACTGTGTTAAGTACTGTGCCTTCAAGGGGCTGACAGTTTGGTAGGAAAGCTAAGACATAAAGTCAGATTAATAAAAGGGAGAAGGCATCAGGGCCATAAGATAAAAAACAAGCAAACTGTCCATAAACTCAGGGAAGGAGAGATTCACTGAACATCATCGTCTGCACATGCTTAAAAACTAATAAAAATGGAGCTTGGGAAGTTCAAAAAACTCTGATCCTTGTCCAAGTAATCAGAAATTCTGAATTGCCTCTATTTTACCACTTAATGTTGTCTGCACTTTACACAGGACATATTTGTACTTCAGTTTTCTTCTCCATTATATTTTCAGCCCCTGGGAAGTGGGGACATAACTTTTCGGCTCTGTGGACTCTTCCCTTATTCTCTCTCTGTTCTCATTCAATATGTAGTTATTGAATTCACCGGTGCTTTTACAAGATTATATT